CACCAAAGAATATTGGTTGTGGATTTACAAATTAATTAACACTGGATTAGTGTAACGTAGATTAGTATAGGTTCTGATTAATGAGAATTAGTAAATAATAATAATGGAATTCAATTCCATTCATGTGTTGATTTTACATGGTTAGTAAATAACTTAATTAGAATGATTCTTCCCATACCGATTCACTACTTCCGATTCCTAAATTTCTCGATTCTTTGCATTGGGGTTGCAAGCCTCTATCTGCCAGAGCACTCAGTTTTTAATTTACTACCATATTTAATTTCATTATTCTATTTGTTTAATTAAATTATTAGAATAATATTGATTGTTATTCCTCCAACAAGTTTCACTTGAGAGAACGAGTTAGATCAAAAGCAAACATTCCCACAAAAAAAGAAAGAAAAAATTGAACTCTCATATTGATTTACTATGAAATTTATCTCTTCAATATCTGCTGTGGATATGTTGAAACTTGCCAATTAATATCAATTATATATAAAGCAAAAGACAAAGAATGATAAAACACTCAAAATACTAGAAAATGCCTTTGATTAATGTTATTGTTAATTAAATGAGGATAATATGGTAAATTACCACTTTTTCATATTTAAAAAAAATTAAAATTAAAAGAAAAATCTACATAATGAATTTTTATGGAACACAACTACCTATTATATTTTTTAATTCTAAATTTATTTATTTATTTAAAAAAGCATCTCGTAGGCGTGGAAGCCCGTGCGGAGAGGCTAATATCAATTAAGGAGGGTGTATTCAATTGTGATTTTAATGGATTATTGAAGCTTAAAAGTACAGCGGTATTCAATTAGGATTTTTAAGTAATCGATAAAAATCCGGTGGTATTCAATTATAATTTTTAAATAATCAATACAAGTCTAATGGTATTCAATTAGGACTTTTAAAAGATAAGAAAAAGTACTGTGGTATTAAAAAACTTACTGATTTTGAGGTATTTCATTAAATGAAGTATTGTGTGAGACTTTTGAGTGTGTGATATAAATACCAAATCACATAACAAATCTCATCTTCCTATGCATGATTTTCATATATGCTCTCATACCTTTTTTTTTCCCACTATTTTTGTATGCTTTTGACTGCACATTAAAAAAAAACTTTTTCATAAGAGATACGATAAAGAAACATTAACAAGAAAGACGATATTGCCTCTTCTGGAGCTAATGGGCATTTTCCAATAGCTCTTCTTTCCTTGTAGACAAGTTTATTTGGAGCAAAATTATATTTTCGATACCTTTTCTTTAAAAAAAAAAAAATTATTTATTACTTTTATTTTTTTATATAATTTTAAGAATCTCCTGCCATTGTAGACATTTCCTCGCAAGGAGTTGCAGCCCTCTACAACTTTGTCGGTGTACCCACAAGTTGCTTGATCTAATGCCTCAAAGAGGCTTTTTATTTTATTTTTATGCGTAGTTGCTGCGCATACAGCGCACATGGCTAAATATTTTTTCTAATTCCGTGTCCCAAAACGTTTGGGACCAGGACGAAACAAAAAAAGAAAAAAGAAGCCTTACCCACAATCTAGAAGAAACATTGATAAGGTGCAAGGTGTTTTTTTTACTCCACAGTTTTTGTCCAAGCTTTGAAAAAAACTAGGAATAGTCATGGGGTTGGGCTAGGAGTTTTCAGTATGTTTATTTATTTGTATTTCTGGTGCTATTTGTTTTGTATTAGGTGTTGGTGGTTTTGGATGTAGCTTCTAGCCTCTGCTTATGCTTTTGTATTTCTATTGTTGGTTTCTCAGTTGTGTTGTGTTTCTTTAACGTATTTATTCTGGCCATGTGTGGCTATGTTGGGAGTTACATTGTTGATGTTGGTGTACTTTTCTTGGACTAACCTTTGATGGTTACTGTGCCTCCATCTTTGTTTAACCCTAAAAATTGGGTATATTCCTTCAGGTTATGTATTTAGGTGAATGATGATGGGTGATAGAGTTCAAGCTTGTATACAAATATAAGTAAAATCATGAGTAAAATCATATAATTACAAATCCAGCTGAAATCATGTAATTACGATATATTAAAATCTCAATTGAATACACCCCCCTAAGCATAAACTAATGCAACTAGGAGGGTATTTGTTTTTAAATTTTTTAAAATAAACGGTATAGCCGTGCGACTATACTACGGTATTTATTCTTCAAAACGGCTATACTCTTGGGTATTTTTTCAAAATAGTATGGCCACGCAGCTATACCTATTTTGACATGTGAGCACCTAATCGCTAGGAGGGTACTTTTTCTAAATAAAAGGTATAGCTGTGTTTTTTTTTTTATAAATAGTATAGCCGAAGTATAGCCGGTCGGCTATACTTGGTATTCCATTCTGAAATTGAGAAAGCAAAGACTCATAACATGATGGAACACAACATTTAAGGGAGACAATTGGGAAAGCAAAGAAAACCAATCAGTGCCAAATTGATACACCAAATCTTAAATTGAGAAGGCAAAGAAAACATCCTAGTAGGCCTATGAACCCAAGAGATGCACATATATGGGGTAGGAGAAAAAACAGTTGAACTGGAGGACCGAAACGAGAAAAACTGAAGAAGAAAAAAAATGTCAACCTTGGCTCACCAAACCAAACTGTTGATCAGTTCGACTCATGGGTTTTACATCATATTAGCGATTTGTACTAAACCAAACAATTATATATATTTCTTTAATGCAAATGTCAAAGTATTTTTATCAAAGAAAAACTATTCATGTTTGCACATCAGCGTTAATTTTATCAACAGGATTAATAACAACATAATCTCCACCCAAAAATAAAAAACATGGATATGGAAATTCATGTCCCATTTGTGATTTTGGATATTGAGGTGATCATATTTGATATGCATGTAACGTACCAGGGCTGAGGTTGGTGCAGATTAAAGTTGTGCAACCAAGATTGCAGTAGTAGAGAGGGTCTGGGGAGCGTCTTCTTACAAGCTTTCAAACGCAACCCTGTACAAATTTTGCTGGTTTTAACACCATGACAGAGGAGCATCATTTGAGCATGCACGTTTTCAACTGAGCCTGCACTTGACTCACTGAAAACACGTTCATCGCCACGACGATTTTCTTTTTTGAAATTTTGAGGTGCATGTAGAAGGTAAAACAATCCTTGAATTCACAGGCCTCAGTCTTAGCCATGAAAAGAAAAAGGTGAAATTAATTTGTCGATCCTTGAGTAATAAGCCAGACCATGAATTCAATTCATGCATAGATTTTATTATGAATTACATAGATATCTTATTGCGAGAACAGATTGACATTTAATATACCAGAGTCTGCTTTCATTAATGGCATTTTCTGGTTCTCTTTAGCATACGCTAAGCATCCTCTCTTGACATATGTTGCGGACAAGAGAGAGCATTCTTGTATGTTCTTCGTGCAGATCTCGCTTTTAATACATTTGAGAGTTCTAATCTTAGTCTTTAAAACTTCTGGTTGAGACCCTTTGGATTTGAGGTTGGAATTTCCGACAGTCCTGTCTAGCCTTCCGTCTTTTTCCTTGTATGGCAAGATTTCTATTATTTTCACCAAATTTATTCAGCACCAGTAAACAGCAGTCACCAACTAATTTCTGGGAAGAACATAAGGGTTTTATTACTGGTAATTTGCAGTTTATATATGTATTTTACTGAATCTACTATATGCACCAGTGTAATTTGTTAAAGAACACATATAACATTCCATTTCGATTGATCCTTACAACATGTTCCCTCATGGGATATACTACAAAACACACAAAGATAAGTTTTATCCGCAAATCATACAACAGTAAAAGCAGGAGCAGCAATTTTTAAGTGAAATTAATTATTCCTTTAGTCTAATTACTTCGGAGAACACAGTACAGATCGCGCAGCATTTGATGTCTTTATTCCTTCGACCTTTCCTTCTAAGCTTGGAGGTCAACAGAATCCCAAGTATGAGAGCCATTCATTTTAACCACAATGGTTCCTTTGTCAAAACCAAATGCAACCCTGGAGGAGGCAAGGAAAGCATATTTTGATAAATATGCTGGTAAAACAATGCAATAAAACAAATCCTAACAAGCTAAGGGCAACAAATTGAGAGTCCTTTGCCACATTTACATGCTTGTATATCAAACGGTTACTCGAAAAATCATCCTCTCAGATACACATCTTAACCCACAAGAAGAACAAAAAAGAAACTTACTTGTTTGATCCTTTCAACTGTCCAATGGCCCATACTCTTTCAAGACCATAGTTCAATTTGTTCTCTAGCCTGTGATAGAAGAAGAATCGTTTACAACATGAGTTTTGATGAAAGAGATGCAATAGCAAGAATTAAACAGAAAACTGAGTCAATTTTATTTGTAATGTAAGTAGTTTGGATCAGAAGTTACCTAAAACTGGTTGCATTCCATATGTGAATGTTCCCATCCTCAGAAACTGTAATTATTATGGGGAGCTCAGCATGAACACATACAGCTGTTACATTGTGCTCATGACCTTCTAGAGTTTGCACACAACTTTTGGTTTCAATGTCCCATACCTGTTGCCAAGAAAATTTACAAATAAAATTCAAATTAGTATGACACACAT